AAGGCATCCACCACGTAGCTCTTACCTGTTCCTGGCACCCCGTGCAACATCCACAACAACGGTTCTCCGCTAACCCGTCCCGCGTCTTCCTCCGCGCACTCCTCTATCATCCTGCTGACGACTCTCCCGACCACTTCCCGCTGCTTTTCGTTGAGCTTCACCGGGCGCTCCTCCTCGGGCCCGCTGAGACTCGCTCTCCACTTTCTCAGCTCCCGCGCGGCGCCCGCCGCTTCGGACTGAATGCGCCCGTCTTCGCCTTCATAGCTCGCGAGGGGGTCTCCACTCTCTTTGGCTTGCGACGCCCTCGCCTCCGCTTCCCTCCTCTTTACTGCCGCGTCCGTCACTTCCTGGCGACCGTCTGTTTGCGCCCACCCGCCCGCTGGCGGCCCCCCCCCCGCCGCCTGGAAGCCGCCCCCACGCGCGCGCAGACGACGCCATCGCATCCGCACTCTGTCGACGAGCTGCCGCCACTGCTTCCGTCGTCAGCCGCTCCTGGTCTTCCATGCGCGTGCCCCCGACATGCACCCGCCTCCTCGATTCGTCGTCAATGTCATCGTGCTGAATACGTCGTCCTCGTGCTTCCCTCCCGACTCCTCCCCATCTGGTCGCATGTCAACGACGTTCATGTAATTCTGCACGTACCGTTTCGCTTCCTCGCACGTCAGGCCCCCGTCCAGCCACCCCCGTGCAACAACGCCCGTCGGCTGGCCATCCGCGCACCAGTCCGACACCCGGGACACCCCGTCCACGTCAGACTCCTGCAATGTGAACGGCCGGAAGTACGCCATGAGTATCAACCCGTTCCTGTCTTCCTCCCCGGGCCTGTTCTTCGGCTGCGGCGCGCCATGGAAGCTCGGGTTCCGCGGCCGCTCATTCCGCACAAGGACCCACCTGCGCCGAGTCGTTTCCATGCCAGGCACGTCTGGGGACGCCACCCATCTGTCACATCCTTCACCGCGAACGACGTAATCCGTTCCAGGGGTCAACGGAGGCTCTGGCCCGATGGTCCGTTTCGCTCGCTCTAGTTCGCTCTGCTGGCTTGTGTGAGAACCGCGTGATACACTGCTTCGTCGTCTTCGCCTTCCTCTTGTTTGCACTTCGGCTTCGTCAAAAACCGCGTCAGCTCGAGTCGCCAGTACCTGTAAAACTCATACACAGACAAAAACTTCAGCTCTGGAGCCCACGCAGAGTCCAATGGCCGCATGCCATACAGCACTGCTGGGTTTTTCGAAACTACACTGGGCCTCTTCGCACGCCTGCCATCGCGCTCGACATGGCACCGCCCTGGCCCCGACCTGTCTGACGCCACGCCGCACTCGCGCTCGACGAGGCGTACCACATCGAAACCAGGGACCATGGCCGTCTTCGTTGTCTTCATGCTCTCTGCGGCCGTTACGTCTCGCGCATCACCATATGCGCGCAGGTTCACACTCTCCTGCGCTGAACGCACAATCCCCTTCCCGTACAGGTCCGACAGGAGCCGCGTGATGTGCCTGTGCGCCACGTACGACGCACTCCTGTCCTTCAATTTCTCACTCAGTGCATGATGGCCCTTTTTGATTTCCTTCACCTCATTGAACTTTGTGGCCAGCCGCTTCGCTCCGTAGTCACACGCGTAGCCCGCCTGCGCGTTCTGCGCCCGCTGTGCCGCAAGAACGATATCTTTCGCCTGCGCCCCTTCCCAGCACCTTTCTTTGCAAACCGTCCCGTCGCGCGTTTCTTCCAGGATTGGAAACCGATACGGCAACTGCAGATCCGAGTTGAAATTCAGTCCCACCCCACCGCTCAGAATGGCAGGCAGCGCACCGTTGAGATTCTCTTCGTTTTGCGGCCCGTGCAGACATCCGGTCATGTCTCTCCTGCCCGCGCTCGGCATTGCGCGGCTTCTGAGGAAGCCCTGGCACAACAGAACGGCCTTACCTACCTGCCACGTAGTCCGCGGGAAGAAGCTTTTGCACTTGGTCGGATCGTCGTCCCGCTGACAGTGAAGCAACGGCATCATCTGGCGCTTCCGCGCGTTATACTTGTGCACGTGGTTCTGGCGGTACCCCTGACCGCGCTGCACGCGCTCCCCTACATATTTCCGATACCACCACGTGGCGCCGCTTGTCGTCTCTCCCGCGTCGTCGCCTGTCCCACTCCTACCTAGTGCCCGCTCGATCTGTGCATCTGACTGCGCTAGATACTTCTCCCCGCCCAGAAGGTCATCCGTTCCTCCATACGCTGGCCAATTACCCTCAACCCGCTCCTTCTCCTGTCGCCACGCGTCGACGTCTTCGTAGACCTGTCTGGATACGTGCCGCTTGTACTTGGCGCGCCCGCATAGCAATTCTGCCAGCGTCTCCCGAGGGAGCCGAAGAATCTCGTGTAGCGGCGTGTGCTGATGCATACACTGCACGAAAAGTTGCGCGTGCACGTGCAGGCTCCCCGCTGACTTCTGCGCTTCTATGGGCCCGTACAGTCCATCCACCCTTCTGGCGCACCCCCCTATAAGCTTCGCGTTACTGCCATTCAAATCCGCACACTTGCAGTCGGGGCAGCGCGGACACCAGCGCAGAACCAAACCAACTATCGTGCGGAATCCATCCACGCCCGCCAGCGGGCCCCGCGCCAAGCACGCCAGACGCGCCTTCACGTCGGGGATGTCCCTCTCCAATATGCCCACTGGCATTGCCAGATACACGTCGTCTGCGGCGGCATCGCGCTCCTGGGTCCAATCGGGCTCCCACAGGCCGCCGTGCGTGCTTCCGAACTCGGCCTGCACGCGTCGCCTGTTCACCGGGTCATCTCGACGGGATCGACTCATGCGCATCATTATGAGATTATGCCTCTCGTCGGGTGACACGGTGAAAAACACTGGAACGCCTTGGGCAAACCGCGCCGCATGCGTGTCGTACCGCATCAGTGTCCGCACCTCATTCGTTCCTGCGATCTTCCGGTTGACTGCCTGCGCCCCCCGAACCATCCGCTGCGCGGTCTCTGACAACGACGTCACAAATTTCAACTTGTTCACATCGCCGTTCACCGCGCGACGTTCACCGGTGCCTGGCTCCTCGTAGCTCCCCCGCAGCGCTTCCACTATGCTGACCGCTGCTTCTTCCATGTGCGAGAAATCGCGGCCCCCCTGATCTTCCACCTGCTCGTGGTCCGCGAATAAACGCATGCTTCTCGACGTGTTCAGAGCGCTCTGGTACAATAACGAAGACATCGTGAAGCCAAACCGCCAATCTCGCCGGAGCTGCGATTCCACGCGCCGGGTCATGATGCGCGTCCAGAGAAGAAGTTCGACTCTTGGGGCCTCCGGCCCCCGCCTGTGGCGACTCGTCTCTGACCACTCCGGCATGTCGGGCATGCCCGTGCCGAACTTGAAACAGAAAGGGAAAGCCACGCCAAAAAACCAAGGCACGAACTGGCTCATCATCTCGGTCCCTGGCGACACAACCAGGCGCAAACGCATTTTTTCCGCCCAGGTACCGCGACCCGTTTCGTCCATGAGCACGAGGTTGCGCCGCTGAGTGGTCTCCCCGACCTCAGCCACGCTGCGCATTCCACTGCTCGTGCACCGCAAACGCCCGTTCTCCCGATCGACGAGAAAGTGCGCGGTCAATGCAACAACGTGATCTCTCCACGCTGCAGCTGCGAAGCGCACTCCTGCGTCGCCCGGCCCGCTCGGCGCTTTCTGGTCGCCACCAGCTTCCGCTGTCACATCACCGACGCCTTCCGCGAGCCGCGCGAACGCGGACTCCGTCATCGCGTTCGCGTCCACGTCATTAAAGCTGGACTTCTCCATCACCACCATGTTCGGGATGCGGCGATTCACGTCCTCGCAGGCTTCTTCGACCGTCGCTTTCGCGCCATCCGACGGCGTCGCGTTTTTGTTGCACCATCACCTTGTCCAAGTGGTTGTCATAGGGAAGCAGGCGAATGAGTTCTGGCGGAACGCCGTTCCTCGGAAGGCTCTCTGCGCGCGCATCCACGCGGGCCGCGTCCTCGTGCGCGAACGCCCGGTGCCCGCGGGATATCATATTTTTGATATGGTGCTTCACAACGTCCCGCCGCACTGTTGCCTGATGGATGAACTGCGGCAGGTTCTGCTTCGTTGTAGCGTCGCTCACCTTCAATAGAACCTGCACTACATGGGCGAGCTCACTACCCACGCGCGGCAAGGCGACGCCTCCCGCGCTCTGTTGGAATCTCTCCTTTCGCCGCAATTCTGCAAGGATGCCCTGCCGCGGCAACGCGAACGAGGTTGCATTCACGCGCGCCGCAACCCGCGTTTCCTGCATCCCTGCGACCGAGTCGAACATATTCTGGTACTTCACTTCCAGCGAAAAGCATATCATCAAGGTTATGCACGGACTGCAACATATCATCTCCATCACGGTCATTCCGTCGTCGTACATGCTGCGTGGTCCATAGAACGTCATAAGATCGTTCGCCAGGCAGCGCGCAGGCATCACTGGCTTCTCCCGTGCCTCTGCTCCGTCCCACTTCATGTTCGGGGTCTTGAGGCCCGCGGCGCACTCCCGACAGACCGGCACTTCACACTGAGGACACGCGGTCTTCGCTTCCACGCACCCGACCGTGCAGCGCACATCCTCTGGACAGCATAACAAGTCGAACCAGCCCCCGGGCACTCCTGACCCACGAGAGCACTGCACGCGCAGCTTATAATCGCGGAATTCTTCCACATGTTTCATCAGGTCGAGCTGCTCGTTTCCCTCCTCGTACCTGCACCTCCGCAAGTACGCAGGGAGACCGAACTCCCGCCGGGCGTCCGCGATGGACCACGCACCCAGGCGCGCTACTCGAGACCTATCTCCAGGATCGCTCTCAAACAATTTCTCCCATGAAATTTCGTTGTTTTCTCGGTCGGCCACCCAGGGAAATGAGCAGGCGCAGAGAAAGCATATCGGCGCACACACGTTCCCGCTGGCTGTCGCGTCCGCATATCCTTTCAGGCTGCGTCGATGCATTGCGTACGTGGAGAGCGGCGCGTCCTGTCGCGTCTTCTGCGACACCACTTCGCTGTGCGCCGCCAGAATCCTCTCGCTTTCCTCGTGTGCCGGGGAGTGCGTGTCTGCGATTGGCTGTAGGACTTCCCCGTGCCCCGCGGCCACGTGCTCGATCAACTCCGCTTCTGCGTTTCCCGACCATCGACAGCCGCGGAACGCGCAGTGCGCAGCCGGTAGTTCAACCGCACTGTCTTCGGCCAACGCTTCCGCCCACGGAACGGACGGGTCTCCCAGGTCACCGGACGCGCCCGGGGACTCCCGCAAGAGCTCCGCCGCTTCTGCCGCGGCCTTTTCTCGGTTCCTCCGAGGAACTTGCGAGTCCAGGATCACGCGGGCCGCAAAGAACCACTCCTGCGCCTCGTCCGCCTCTGGGGTTTCGATACGACCCGGAGCCTCGCGGTCCACGGCGTCGCCCCGCGCGCCCCCGTGCACATCCGCCGCGGTCGCGGGGCCTGCAGAACCCGCCCGGTTTCCGCGCGCCCCCTCGCGGCACCCTTCGCCACAGACACTGGCGCACCCGCGCGCGGGAACGCACGCGCGTGGGCCGTCGTTTCCACCTGTCGCGGCGCCTCCAGGCACCGCTCGCCGAATGCGTTTCGGAGCTGTTGCTGGCGGGCGTTCGCACCCTGCCGTCGCCACGACATCCACGCCCCCCTCCCCGTCGTCTCCTCCCCCGGCGACCCTTTCACCCAGGCGCGCCACCGACGCGTCCGGACCAACTGTCCGCGGTGTCCCCGACGGCGCGTTCGGTTCTCGTTCGGCCCGTCCACCTGTGCCACCGACCCCGCCTCCCCCCGCCCTGTCCGCGCAGTCCCCCGAACACCCCGCCCCGGCCTGGCACGACATCCCTCTCCACGCAGAGACGGGCCCCTTCCGACGTAACGTTCGGTCACCCTCAGAGACACTGTTCTCTTCCCCGTCCAGCTGCGCACCCGCGCGATCTCGTCTCCCCAGTGGAGAAGGGACCGGCGGCGTGACCTTCTCCGCCCCCCTGCCTGGATTTCTGCTCTCGGGGCCGCTCTCCACTCCAACGCCCAGCGAACGCATGCTCGACGTGGCCGGGCCCGTCGTCGCCAGACTCTCTACGTCGGCCGCTTCCCCGCCACCGCCCCCCGTTGCCGTCGCGCTGCCGCTGCGCACCCCCGCTTCGTTCACGCCGACGTTCTTCTCCGAGGCTTCACTGCGGCGTAGGCTCTGCGCCATCGTTTCCGCATCATCTCCGCAATCTCCAGCGCGATCGCCCTGTGTCTCCGACTGGGCGCCGCTCGCCCTGCACGCCGTCTCGGATGCGCGGTCTGCTGCTCCACTGCCGTGGGCGCTGTTCCCAGGCGCGGGCGACGGGCCCGTGCGAACGCACATCAACATATGCAGCGAGGAGTCGCGACAAGACTTCCACCCGCGCGCATCGGACGGATGGGGGCACATCTTCACGCATTCGTCATCGCGTAGTTCCCATCTCACGTCGCCGCCAGCCGTCGCCCTGCAAATGGCGGTGTAGTGGCCCGTGCGAAACCCTTCCCCATGGTGGACCACGCAGCTCGCCAGCTCGTAGTGGTGCTCGCCCACGATGACTTCTGCATTCGGGACAATGGTATGCGGGACCTTCATTGCCCTCCTGCTCTCTCTGTCGTACGTCTGCGCGCCCACATGAACCCAGAGCACCTGGGGAAACTTCGTCAATTCCCACCCCTTCACAGCTGTCGCCCACCCGCACCCTTTCGGACAGGACCACCTGAAGTCCGACTCCATCAACTCCCCGGCACTGCTCTGCTGAATTGCTTCTTGCACAGATGTCACGCCCCCAGCAAGTACTCGAACCGTCAGGCATGTCAGGTGCCTGTCCCCCTTGACCTCTTGCGCGCCGCCGCGGCCCTTCCTCCCGCAGACGAGTGTCTCTGTCTTTTCCATCCGAAATAGGCTGCTTACTGTAGGCGCGCGTTCTGCGTCGAGCAGATCCTGTAAAAACTCATTCGCGTCTTCCTGCGTCGAGTTGTAAAACACCCGCTCCATGGCTTTCAACATCATGGGCTTCGGCCCGGCGCGACTCTCCATGGCCCGCAGAGTGCACGCGAGCAGCCCGTCAAAATCCGGCGCCCTGCGCGACCTCTGCGCCACGTTCCCACGCGCGGCGAATCGCCACCACTCCCAGTCGGCCGAGCGGGCCCCGCCTGCAGTGCGCACGGCGGCGCGCGCGTCTGGAACTGCGAACAGCGCCTGCGCAGAAGCGCTCATGAAGCAATGCCACTTTGGATTCTGGAGGCCGGGCAACGCAGTCAGGGAAACATGCGCGTCATCGCTCAGGCCGTCCTCATCTCGCTGCCGTCCGCGTGCCTTTCGAGGGGGAAAGTGATCTGGCGCTGCTTCGCACGCGTCGCCAGTGACGGCCCCCGTCGTCTCCGGACCGCGCGCGAGACCCGCCGCACTGCCGGCACGCGGCTCGGCAGCGATGTCCCACCCTTCCGTTTCGCTGCCGGGATCCCTCTCTCGTGTCTGCCCGCAGCTTCCAAGTCGACTCGGGACATCGTCGCGGGGTGCCCCAGCGTGTCTATCTGCGGCCCCGCGGTCCCCGGAACCGCGTGCATCCCGCACGCTGTCCCTGCCTTGTACCGCGGTCTTGTCGACGGCGCCCCGTGCCATCGACAGCCTCCAGGGCGCATCCTGGGCATGCCCGCGACTTGCGAAACTACTGAGGGCGTCCCACCCGCGACATACCCGAACCACGTGCTCTGTTTCAGGCCACACAACAGCCCCTGAACACCCCCCCGCGGAATCTCCGAGTACCCATCGACGGCGCGGACACTCCTCCATGAGGCCACTCGCGTATCGACCCTCGTACACCCACACAAACGCTTGTTGCTTGTGCAGCCACCTTTCCACGGCGATCAAGTTCTCTTTCCCCACGCTCCCGGCGCCGGCTTCTCCAGAGCCCACGTCGTTCTGGCACTGCGTCTCGAAGAAACGCATGGCGTCTCGACGGCGTCGCCCTCTACGAAGCTTCGCAACCGCCACCTGCAGGCACTTGTTTTCATGAACACCCAGGTTATCATCATCGGACGCAAGAACCAAGGTCGCCAGACCGGGGGCGAACCTGACGTACACCAGCCAAAATAGCGCGACTAGCACCATCAAGCCGCCCACGGTCTCGCCACCACGACATGCGCGGCCCCCCGCTCTTGTGGACTCTCCGACACCCCTGCTTCGAGTGGCGCCGGCGTTCCCCCCTTGCAGCCACACCTGCGCGGGCGCCGTGCGCGCCCTGCGGCTGACGCCCACTCCCGGGGAACTTCGCGCGCCCGCGCGCCGTCTGCGACCAGCTCGCCGGCCGTGTCGCTGGGAAAGTTGGAGCGCCAACCGATGCAAAGGTTTCGGGTTCGACGCGCACGCCAGGTCGATGAACATCAACGTGCGAAACGCTTCAAAAAAGACACTTTCCGGACATGCGGCCGTCGCCCTCCGTTCCTTCTTGTCCGACTCTGTTCGCGTCCACTTGCGGGGAGACAAAAACGGGCCCGGCCTTTCGAAAATTCGCAAGCGGTTCCCCCTTCGGCGCCTCCACCCCAAGGAGAACCCGCGGGCCAACCAGCGCCGCGCACTCCAGGCCCCGCACGCGCGGGCCACCTTCTTGCCAGGGCTTGCCACGTGCACACGGAAAGCCCGCCGGACTCGACGCTCGGCCCCGGGCCACTGGCCCGTGCCGACAGCCCGTACTCTCGACGCTTCGGGAACGAGGTGCTGCCCCTGGCGTCGCGGGACACCGCGAAACCGCCGACTCCCAGATTGCCTGTTCGCACCTTCCCCGCGCCCAGCGTTCCCGTGACGGACTCCGAGACGCAGCCGTCGTGTTTCTCGCCACGCACACGACGGGGTCCTGCTGCTGTATCGCCGGCCAGCTCCACCGAAAAAATGCGATAGTCCTGCCCTTCTAGGATACATCACCCGCGAGAGTTTGGCCCGCCCGGGACGCACCACGCTGGCACCATCACGCTGCCGCCGACCATCGTCCCGCCGACCTGCTGCACCGAAGAAATGCGATAGTCCTGCCCTTCTAGGATACCTCACCTGCGAGAGTTTTGCCCGCCCGGGATGCACCGCGCTGGCACCACCACGCTGCCGCCGACCATCGCGGCCAGCACCCGCCATCCGAAACGCTATCTCGTCCGCGCCGGCCTCGGGAGGTCCGGCGCCTTGCAGGGCGTGGTTCCTGCAGACCCTCGGTTTTTTGTGGAAAACCGGTAAACCCTCGGTTGTACCCCACCACGGCCGAAGCCGGGCTGGCGACCCCTACGGCAGACTCCGAAGAATCTGCCATGGAAGCCGCGGGCCTGAGACAACCGGTAAACTCCTTGGTTGTTGCGGTACAACCGGTAAAACCCCCGATTCCTTGCAAGGAATCGGGCCTACGACACCCCTTCGCCGCGCCCTTGCGGGCCATGGCGCCCAGGGGAGGGGCCGGAGGGGGGGCCCTGGGGAGAGGCGCCCCTCAAGAGTAGCTGCACTCAAGGCTCGACCCTCACCAACATTGGGCACGTCCCTCATACATTTCGTGGCTCCACGGCGCGCTCCAACCATAGCCCCAGTACCCGCGGTCACGTAAACTTCCAACCCCACGCGCACACACACGTCGATCGTGTCGTGGCTCCAGAATACGTCCACCGTGGGGCCCAGTGGGAACATTCGCATGCAAGTATACCCCATGCCGGCACACCCTTTGCACGCGCCGTGGCCTCGCACATGGCCAAGTTGACCCATCATGACTCCTGGGCAGTCCCCCAAAAAAACTCCCGACCGCTACCGAAACGGCTCGAAGACATTCCCGAGCCCAACCTGGCTCCATTATGCCTCTCAGATGGCCCCAGATGAGACCACGACCGCCCGCGGTGTCGCCGTCCGCTCGGACCCCCCCGCGGAACTGCCCGAGACCCTCTGGCGGTGGCGGCGAACAGACACCAAACAAATATCACTCGCCTTTTCACCCCTTCGCAGCTTCTACTACCCCCAGATTGGCATAAACAAGGGGTCGGCGGTGTGGCGTAAGCCTAAGAATCTGAAGATACGCTGCTGCTTACACTTGTGAGCCATCCTGTGACTGCCCCGGGGGCCCTCTTGAGGCCCTCTTGCGGCCTTCCTGTGGTTCGCCGCCTAGAACGACCTCGTTCCATGCGGTCTGAACCACAACCCCAGGTCATTCGCCCCATCGGGCCATCGTGACTTACTTTCAGTGTGGTGACTCCAGAAAACTGGGCCCACTAACGGGGCTACGGCGCCCCAATGCCATAATAGCTCAAGTCCTCCTCCTCCTCCTGCTCCTCCTCCTCCTCCACCACCTCCTCCTCCCACTCTACATCTTCCTCTTCCCGCTCCACGTCCTCCTCCTCCTCCTCCTCCCCCTCCTCCTCCCCCTCCTCCTCCTCCAAATCCTGCTCCTCTGGCACTACCCCCAATCCAACAACACGGAAGCGGCGTCATGCGCTGCGGAGCTAAACGAAAAAAACAAACAACGGCCCTCCTGCATCTGCTTCAGATCGCCCGCCTCCAGGTCGTCGCCCGCGCTGGCGGGCACAGTCGGCCCGCAGAGGCTCTTCGCCTGTTCGCGTTGAGGGGGGGGGGCAGAGAACGCCAGGAGGAGAAAGGAAGGGCAGGAGGACGAGGACAAGGAGGACGAGGAGGAAGGAGGAGGACGAGGAGGAGGTCAAAGGAGAAGGACGAGGAGGAAGTCGAAGGAGGAGGACGAGGAGGACGAGGAGGACGCCAGGGGGACAAGCCGGAGCAGGACGAGGACGGGCGGAAGACTGAGGTGCCAGATAGGACGGAAGGCACACAAGGAGGAGCGCCAGCAGGCCAGGAGGACGAACCGAAGCAAGACGACGAGGGGCGGGAGAAGGACGAGCGAGGTACAGTCAACCCGTATAACAAGGACACGCGATGGGGATGCAAGGGCCTCGGAAGGCCGTGCCGACACTTTGCGAGCGAAGCGCGGCCAGCGAAAGCGGCCCAGGATGGGCCGAAGGGGAAGGATGCAAGGGTAACCTTGGAAAGTTGCTCATAATTCGTACTGTGCGGGTTGACTGTAAGACGGAAGACAACGAGGAGGAATGCTAGCAGGCAGAGAGGAATGAGTTGGAAGATGAGGACCAGGAAGAATGTCGCGGGAACGTGGGGCAAAATAAGATGGAGGACGACGAAGAGGAATAATCCGCCACCGAGCCTCTGGGTACGGAGTGGGCGCGTCCTCAGGTACCGGGCCCAATCCTCTAAGCCTCAGTCCTCACTCCTGAAGAGTCTTTAAGGGGCCCAGACCCCTCGTTCTCAAATTTTCCGGGGCTTCCCGCGTGACCCCCGGGGTGTGTCGCGTGCCCCCTGGGCTCTGGGAAGTGTTGTCACAGAGGAGGCGGAGACGAGGAGGAAGAGGAAGGAGAGGACAGAGGAAGCAACACTACCTATACGACCACCCTGCGGGTGAGAAGGAGGTTGGGGGGGGAGGGGGCCAGCAATGGGCACCAGTGGTGATTGTTGTTCTGACGATGCCAGTGGAGATGGTTCCCGCTATCGATCTCGCTTTCGATCTCACTATCGATCTCACTATCGATCCCACTATCGCTCCCACTATCGATCTCGCTATCGATCGCGCTTTCGATCTCACTATTCATCTCACTATCAGTTCCACTATCGATCTCGCGATCGATCCCAGTCGATCGATCTCACTATCGATCTTACTATCGATCTCACTATCGATATCACGATCGATCTCACTGTATATAGATCTTACTATTGATCTCTCACTAGAGATCTCACTATCGATCTCACTATCGGTCTCATTATCGATATCACGATCGATCTCACTATCGATCTCACTGTCGATCTCACCACGGGACACCACGGGACAACGACGGGACACTGGCGGGACACCGGCGGGACACCAGCGGGACACCGCGCGCCACCGGTTGCTGGGCGGAGAACCGTTTGGTCCAGCCGCCGCCCAGCCACGACGGCACACCGGCGGGACACCAGCGGGACACCAGCGGGACACCGGCGGGACACCGCGCGCCGCCGGTTGCCGGGCGGAGAACCTTTTGGTCCAGCCGCGGCCCAGCCACAGGAGAATTTCCTCTCCCCCGCCCACGCAGCTTCGCCTCGCCCGCACCCACGGCACGAACACAAAACCAAAATCGATTTCCCGGTAGGGGGGCTCTCCGTTCCACTTCCATCTCACCGCCCAACCTCTGACAAGCAATGGAGCTGCTGAGCTCTAGCTCAGGCCCAGGGTGAACCAGAAACAACACGTACGACCCCTTCCAGGCTTGACCCAAAATCTGAGGACCCGTGGGCATCCTCCACCACGGGCACCCTCAGCGAACCGCGGACAAACGCAACCAGTTCGAAGCCTGGGAGGCCGCACACGTCCTGGAGCCAATGCCCTCGACGGGAAGGCGGTGCCAAAACACACACACACACACACACACACGCCCACACACGCCCACACACACACACACACACACGCATAGAGAGAGAGAGAGAGAGGATAAGCCACAGGCCTGCGGCCAGACAGCAGGAATAAGGACACAAGGAAGGAGAGAGGGGGGCGAGGGAGAGGGATAGGGATAACCAACAACATAACGCAAAAACAGAGAGAGAGAGAGAACGACAAGGCACGGACCGATCGACCGACCGACCCGATAGAAGTGCTCACACCTCCCGCAAGGCGTTCCTCCTGCGGGGAGACACGTTGCTCCCATAAACGGGGAAGGCACACGTCTCGAATACAACAACAGAGGAAGAATACATTGTGGACGGGCTCGCAGCAAGGGCGGTAAACCGAAGCCACGAAAGACCCAGAGCGGCTGAAAAGGCTTGACGCTCTCGACAAACAACCGTCTCGAACCAACATCTGGGCCTCCTCGGCACCGTGCATGGACTCCCCTAGTAGATGCATTCTCCGCCTCCTCCTCATTCTTCTCCTCCTCCTCCTCCTCCTCCTTCTCCTCCTCCTCCTCCTCCTCATGTTGCCCTCCTCCTTCCATGTGGGCCAGATGCGGGCGGGGGACGGCGAAATCGAAATCTTGTCCTTTAAAAAAGAAAGCGGTAATGATTAGATCATCATCGTCGTCACCATCTCGACAGAAGCCTATAGTTGACCCGTCTCATGGGGATGCGCGGTTCGGGGTCAGGGGTCCTGGAGGGCCATGCCAACGTTCTTCGGACGAGGCTGGCCAGCGAAAGTCGCCAGAGATGGGCCGAAGGGGCAGGGATGCAAGGGTAGCCTTGGAAGGTTGCCCATCCTTCCTCTGCGGGTTGACCGTACCACGCACACGCCGATGCGTCGACCCTACAGTGGCTTCAACGCGCAGCGGGATGCCCCGCACGAGGACAGAGGCAGAGGGAGGAAAGCCGACCCTGGGCCTGACTGCCGAGGGGGGGCCCGCGCTGTCGCCGAGCGCCGCCCGCTCGACCCGCGAGTGCAGTGCGGGCGCGGCCGCAGGACACCCAGCCCCCAAACCTGCAGGCGCGAGATCTGCAATGGGAGGGGGAGTCCAGATCAGCTGCGAGCAAGGGTGGGAGATGAGGCAAAGGCCTTCTCAGAAGGCGGCGGGACTTCTCAGAAACCCTCGCGCCTTCTGAGAGGTTGTCCTGCGTCTTCGGGGAAGGCTTAGAAAACTTCTCAGCAGGCCGGGGAACTTCCGAGCCTTCTGAGAAGGCCTTCTCCTTCTCACTTCCTCCCCTTGCTAGCCGTCGAAAGTTGGGGGGAGCACAGAGCACCCTGAACGCAGCATCCCCTCCAACGGCCAGGAAGCCACAGCGCAGCGCGCGGAGCGAAGAAGCCCAGGGTGCCCTGGCGAAAATCAGTCAATTTCTCGATGCGAGTCTCCACTGTATGCGGCCGACTCTGGACCCCCCTACCAAAAAACAACTAACTTTGCTTCCGCCTCCATCCGCTCGGGGGAACGTAAAAAAAGGTGGGGTCGGGGTAGGGATGGGGTCAAGCTAGCCAGCTCGAGCGAGTCAAGCATGGCATGCCCATTCCCACCCGCCCTCCCACAACATAAGAAACAGTGATGGCACAACTGGGGGTTGCGCGGGCATTTCAGTGCGAGTGCAGGATACCCCAGGACACCGCATTGACGTCCGCGCGGGATGTGCGCCGCGTCCCATTCCCGCCACGAATTTCGCAACGTCGACGACAAGACTGGCCATTTTGAAAGGAACATCGGACACGTTCCGCCCTCCCACAGCATAAGAAACAATGCTGGCGCAACTGGGTGCTGGCGCGTAGTGGTAGTAGTAGTAGTAGTAGTAGTAGTAGTAGCAGCAGTAGTAGTAGTAGCAGCAGCAGTAGTAGTAGTAGCAGAAGTAGTAATACTAGTAGTAGTAGTAGTAGTAGTAGTAGTAGTAGTAGTAGTAGTAGTAGTAGTCGTAGTAGTAGTAGTAGTAGTAGTAGTAGTCGTCGTCGTCGTCGTAGTAGTAGTAGTCGTAGTAGTAGTAGTAGTAGTAGTAGTAGTAGTAGTAGTAGTAGTAGTAGTAGTAGTAGTAGTAGTAGTAGTAGTAGTAGTAGTAGTAGTAGTAGTAGTAGTAGTAGTAGTAGTAGTAGTAGTAGTAGTAGTAGTAGTAGTAGTAGTAGTAGTAGTAGTAGTAGTAGTAGACGTCCGAGGGGCCCTGAGTCGCCGAAAGATCGTTCCAAGACGCCCAAGATGGCCTCCAGACGGCCGTAGCGCCAAGAAGCCGCGGGGAGCCTCAGGAGGCCCTCAAGAGCCTGAACAAGCAAAAACCTCCCAGGCATTCGTCACCCCAGGGCCTCCTGGAACGCCCGGCGCCCAATGAATTGGCGAGCTAAAAACGTGCGCCGAGCCAAAGCGGGAGCGCAACTTTGAGAAAATTTCGCTCGGCGCCCAAGCGAGAAGGTCATTTCATTCACTTCGAGCGGGGGGGGGGGGGTGCCGCGCCCAATTCTTGCCATGCACTTTTGCGGGGTGGACGACAAGAACAGCTATGTGGGCAAGCGAAAATCAGCATGGCATTGTTTCTGACAAGTAAGGTGGCCCCTCCCGCCTTGGGGTTGCCCCAGAAGTCCGCGCGCGATGTGCGCCGCGCCCCATTCCTGCCACGCATTTCGCATCGTCGACGACAAGACAGGCCATGATGAAAGGAAAAACGGCAACTCTGTATTGTTTTTTACAATCAGGATGGGAGGGCCCGCAGCCCGCATGGACGTCCGCGCGCGATGCGCGCCGCGTCCCATTCCTGCCACATATTTCGCACCGTCGGCGACAAGGCAGGCCATGCTGAGATGAAAAACGAAGACTTCGTATTGATTTTTGTACAGACAGGATGGGCGGGCCCGGATTGACGGCCGCGCGCGATGTGCGCCGCGTCCCATCTGTGCGCCGCGTCCCACTGCTGCCACATATTTCGCACCGTCGGCGACAAGGCAGGCCATGCTGAGATGAAAAAACGAAGCCTTCGTATTGATTTGTCACAGTCTGGATGGGCGGGCCCAGATTGACTGCCGCGCGCGATGTGCGCCGCGTCCCATTCCTGCCACGCTTTTCGCATCGTCGACGACAAGGAAGACGATGTTGAGAAGACAAACGGCCACTTTGCATTGATTTTTTACAGTCCCGATGGGAGGTCCCGGATTGGGTCGCTATCGGCCGGCATACGACGTAGGTGGGGGTATATTCTAATAAGGAACAAGGATTGGAGGAAAATCGCTCAGAACGGTCCGAGACAGAAGGGAGTGTGAGTATCCAGCTGGGTATGTTTCGGCTACAAGTAAGAGTGACCCTGCGTCAGAGTGACCTTCGGTGCGCGGCTTCACGAAACCTAGGTGCGCAAGCCGTTGCTGCCGCTTCGCGCTCAGCGATCGAGGGACCCCATTGAGCCCAAACCAAAGGTCGCTCCGACGAAAGGTCACCTTGGGATAACCCCCTCTCTACGAACCCCCGATCCGCCGCACCTCCGCTGCCTTCCGCGGGGCAGAACTGCGACGCGGGGATGTCTCCATATCCACCGCCTGTGAAACAGCGCCCTGGTGCCCCAGCGGGCGGTGGATATGGATATAGTTTGGCCCCTGGAGGCCCGAATATGTCCATCTCAACCGCCTGCCGAGGTCCCCGAAAATGGATCCTCCAGGCGGTGGTCGTGTATAGATTCCCGCCTCGGAAGAACGGCATCGCCTCCCTTCCGCCGGCTCCAGCCAGCCTCATCCGCCGCCTACCGCCGGGCAAGAGGCGCCAGGCCCTCGTTCCCTCGAGGGCGAGCCCCTGCGCCCCATGACAAACTTCGCTGGGATCGGTTCTTCGTCCTGCATCGTTGTCCGACTGCCCTTTTTGGGCTTAATATGGGGGGGGGCGGGCTGAACAGGGGGGAAGAATGCTGCGCTTTTCGGGCCCTAGAGGCCCCCTTTGGGGATCCTCAAGGGCACCTCCAGGGGCCCTAAAGGGCCCCTTTGCTGCGGCCCTTGCTGCCCCCTCATCTATCGCCCCTCCAATACGCGACGTTCAACCTTGAGTTGGTGGGCGAAGAACGGTATCAAATAAACTGTTCCGCCGTCGGGGGCGCCTGTCCCTGGGCGGCTGGAAAGCCAATGCACCCACGTGGCGCCGTCACCGAGGGGGCATGAACTTTGCAGCCGCCTGGGGGGGCAGGTGTCCCCGACGGCGGAAGCGTGTACTTCATACCGTTCTTCTCCGTTTCCCGATGGAGCCCGAGAACGGCCCCCGAAGGCCGAAAACGCAAACAAAACCTCAGCCCCCAGAGTTAGGTGTTGGGCCTCCGGGCGCGCGGTGGTCGCCGCGACGCCGCGGCGTGCTCCGTCGCCGCGTGCTTCGTCGCAGGCCCCGCCCGCCCGAGCCCAGGGAGCACCGAGGCACCGCGCCGAAGCCACGAGAAGCCCTCGAAGTCCTCGAGGCCTCGCGGAGGCGCTGCGGACTCCGCGAAGCCTCCACGAGAGCTTCGGAAGAAGAAGAAGCAACGTCATACACATAAACTTTAGCTCCGCGCGGAGTCCTTGGATCTTCGCTCGGCCCCCCTCCCTGGCGCGCGGAGCGCGCCAGGCGCGGCGCCAGAGGCGCCGCCGGGGGGGGCCCCAGCGCGGATCCAAGAAATCCGCGCGGAGCGCCAAAAGTTTCTTCGAGCCATGAGAGTCTTGAAGTGGAGCCGCCCCTCCGACGCGGGCACCACCTCAAGACTCTCGTCCTCCACAGTAGACGGCCTGGGCAAGATCCTCGGGCGAGCGCCGGCACGCGCCTGGCAAACCAAGAATCAGGAAGCGGCTCTCAAGAGGCCTCAAAAAAGCAGCCAGGAAAGCCCAGAGAAGCCCAAGAGCAGAGCCGCGATCCGCCAACCGCACCCGACGAAATCCCAAGAAGCTGAAACCCCAAGATTCCCTCGAAATCGCGCGCGTTCTGCAAACTCCGTTTTTCACTCTTACTGCCGCCCCAAGGGGTCGGCGTTGCGGCGTCAGCCAGTGAGTCGGGAAGCGGCAGATTGCGCATCCTGGTCCAAGGGCGGCGAAGCCCTACGCGCTGCCACGCTGGCCCCGGGCAGGCTGTGCTGCCCGGCGACGTCCACGCGTCCACCGCGTGGTTCGGCGGCGAGCGAGGGGGGAACCAGCTGGCATCGCCTCCGCCGCGGTGGCAGCAGGTATCAAGTCCAAGTACGTGGCTCCTGGTGTGCAGGAGGCCCTCTTTCCCCGAGCGCCAGTGCAGCGGTGCATGGTTCCAACGCAGACCGACACGGCGCGGCACAGAAGGCATATCATTCGGCGGCGAGCGAGGGGGGGTGGAATGAGGCCTTCTCAGAAGGTTCGGAAGTCCCCCGGCCTGCTGAGAAGTTTTCTAAGCCTTCCCCGACGACAGAAACAACTTATCAGAAAGCGCGAGGGCTTCTGAAAAGTCCCGCCGCCTTCCGAGAAGGCCATCTCCTTCTCACTTCCCCCCTTCGCTCGCCGCCGAATCATTTGTGCAGTTCATCTAGGGTTCGTACCAGTGTCAGGCGCCTCCACGCACGCGGCTCTGCCAGAGTTCGTGCAGCACGCGGCTCTGCTGGAGTTGGCGCCGCGAGACCTGCCCTGCACTGCAAGGCCCGAGACAGCGAACACGAAACATATCTCAAGCACAAAAATGATGGCTAGCACATTCGTTGATACTTCTCGGCCCTCTCGAGCTGCATCGCCCTGCCCCTGTCCTGGCTCTGTGGACCAGGGGACCAGCACAGTCCATGACAGCGTGATAATCACCGTCGAAAGCGGCAGCACAACACACACGAATGCGGAGTGCAACACCGATGTCGTGCCAGCATGGTCGTATCCCCTCACATTGCAGGCATGCCTTCTGGACAACTCGACGAGCCCGTGTCCTTCCTGGAGCTTCGATTCCCAAAGCATGCTCAGCGCTCTGCCCTCGACAGCGTCGCTTGCCCAACGCCAGAGATGCGCACCGTCGACCACCCAGTGGGCGCCCTGGCAAGACAGGGACACGTAGTGCAGAAGGTACACTGTCTGATACGCTAGACCTTGGGTGTGCTGGAAGCAGTGGCGGCTCATCGAGAGGCACTCCGCGTCGTCTGCGACCTCCACTCTATCGGCGCACGGGCAGTGGAGGTAAGCACCAGAGCTTCGGCACCAAGTCCCGCCAAGCGCAGTGCACAGAGTGCAGAGGATGTAAATGGCGAAGTGCGCACAGCAGCGGCAGGTTGAAGGAGCGCTTGCCTTGCGCTGGAGTAGGGCAAGCCATAACCAGTGCAACCCATGAACGACTCCGAAAAATGCCCAAAGCGCGACGAGCAACAGGAAGGAGGCTGCGAAACGCAGATGCTTCGCGTTGGCCATATCTCCACGGTGACGAGGCTGCTTGGGGAGCGCAGCTAGAGCTTCAGATCAACCAAAACGGCTTGAACCAAAAAGGTTACGGAAGAGGCAAAAAGGCCGCGGTACCTTACGTCGAGGGCACGCCGATGCTTACACTGGGCCCAGAAGCCTCGAGTCGGGGAGCCCGTCTGCCGAGTTCCTGAGCCACCGCCAGCCATCGGGACCCCCCCGAAGGGCCCGAACAATTTGCACTGATACGGAGAAGACCTTGTAACACTTCTCTGCAGCCACGTGGCCCCGCAGCTTCGAGATAAAGTTTAAAATCCGCCGACCCCGCTTGCCGGGGGTGAAAAGGAGTGTGAGACAGGTAGCTGTCCCCTCACCCTTTCACCCTCCCCCAGAGGCCCAAATTCCTGTTCTTTGGGAAGGGGGGCGAGCTCGTCAACGCACCCCCAGTACCTCCGACGACGCCTCCAAATCTACACTCCGGGACCTTCAGGATGCTAAAGGTACGATCGAAGCTGGCTTAAGCTGGGCTCCTACACGCCGAGGAGGCCTCAGAGCACCCAAGATGGCCTCACAACGGCCCAGGAGGCCTCCACGACAACCCGAGAGGGCTCCAAGAGGAGCCCCAAGAAGGCCCCAAGAGGCAGGACATCGCCCGAACCCATCATGAAAAAAGAACCGCTCATGTCTGGCAGATTCGCCTGGTCGGTCTCAGCAGCGTCCCAGACGGCTCGGGAGGCCCGCAGGATCGCTCCCGTCGGGGATCTTCTGACCTGGGCCGATCCGGACCCAGGCCAGTCAGGCCTTGCAGCATGCTGCAAGATCCTGCGGGATCCTGCAGGAGCCTGCACCCAGACCCGGGTCCGTGCGCCCCTTGCTCTGCAGGATATCCTGCAGGCTCCGGCGCTCTGACGGATCCCTGCTTGCACCGACCCCCGCCTCTCGAGCCCCGCTCCAAGACGGCCCAAGAGAGCAGGGGAACGGAAAGCGGCATGAACAGGAGGCCCCGGGAAGGAGACGGCCCCGGGAGGGCCCCGAGACGCCCAGGGCGGCCCGAGAACAGGGGCCCCGACGGGGCCCCGAGAGGGGCGCCTCGGCCTGGCGTGCCGAGGCCTCTGCCCCGGGAGAGACCCCGGACAGCCTCGGCACGCGCTCAGGTCGGGCGTGTCCCCCTGCAGGCGGATCGTGGACGGGAGTCAAACGGACTCAAAACAGTGCCGAACAGCACTCAGACAGAATCAAAACATGCCCCCGGACTGCTTTTGGACCATTTTTGAAGATTCACGGTAGCCCACGCCCGAGATCGCGGCGAGGCGCCGACCAGCAGGGGCACAGCACACAAGGACTGGGAGGAGAGCGACAGCTGGAAGCCTCCTGGAGGATGGGGCCCGAGCAGACAGGGTAGGAGGATCGCGCCACATCGACAGTGCATCGGTGCTGCACGGGCGATGCACTCGCGACGTGGGCTATACGTCGGCGACGTCGGCGTGAAGCACATCGGGCTCCACATCGCACCGTATCGGCGATGCATCCGACCCCGTCTACTCGGATCCCATCTAGGCGTGCACGGGTTCCCCTGGGGCCGCAGGCGACCCGAGGAGGAGGAGGGGGAGGAAGAGGAGGAGGAGGAGGAGGAGGAGGAAGAGGAGGAGGAGGAGGAGGAGATGGAGGAGGAGGAGGAGGAGATGGAGGAGGAGGAGGAGGAGGAGGAGATGGGGGAGGAGGAGGAGGAGGAGGAGGAAGAGGAGGAGGAGGACGAGGAGGACGGGTCGCCTAAGCTTGTCGGAGAAACCCTCCATCTAATCAGGAGGCCTGGAGGGAGGAGAGCGACGACACATGATCAGTCAGCATCGAATCGTGACACTGGACACGGCTAGGAGCGTGCGTCGGACCGGGCCGCGCCGGCACGGCACGGGCTGCGCCCCAAAGCGCAGAGCGCCACGCAGGCACCGGGCCGCAGCGGATCGCTGGGAGTTCGAAATCGGATCGGATCGAGCCCGTCGAATTCGATATCGAATCGAGTCGATCGGATCAAAATGGGAACTGAGCGGGATAATGGCGAGGGGTATGGTGACCCCAAACCCCGATGTTTGGGACTTTCGTCTGGACGGAAAAAACATATGGGAACCCATCTCGGGGATGCGCGATGGGAGGCCGCTCACGCTCGATAGGAGTGCGTCCCCGAGTAGCCCGGGATGCCCACGAGTTCCCCTTCTTTCTTGAGCGGTCAGTGTTTCAATCGGGGCACTCGGAGTGGGAGGAGAAATCGCATGCGAGACGAGGTGGAGACGTCGGGGCAATGATTCCACACCTGTTTGCTTGCACATCGTCAAACATCAGCTTGACTCAGATGAGCCACCGCAGGGGACAAAAAACGTTGCCCCGATGCTGACAAGACACTGCGTCGGCGTGTTTGCACCGTCCCGCCTGACGGTCAGTGTGATCGCGAGACGAGAAGAAGCCTGGGATAAAGGAGGAGCGGGAGGCGAGGGTGGTGAAGGAAGAATAATTTGCCCTTCGCCACCCTCGTCCAAAACGAACAACGAAACGCAACCTTGAAATCACGGAGAAACAATGCGGACAACGAAACAATCGCAAAACAACGTTTAACATCCAGACGCGTTTACGACGACAACGAACAACACAACGAAAGCACAACGAAAAACAAGACGAAAAACAAAACGAGGGCCAACACCTAACTAAACGTCGTTGTGGTCGGTCAGAGCAGTGGGAGGAGTGGTGGGTGAGAGGATGGCGCTGAAAGAGCGAACGTGACACCGGAATTCGGAGGCGGGAAATGAGGGGGGGGAGGTGTGAAAAGGTCCAAGAGGGGGTTCGGGTGTTCTATGACTGGGGGTAGCAAGTCCTGGGCATGTATAGGGGAGGGGGAAGAGGGATGGACAACAGCAGGAAAGGAGGACGGGGACAGTGGGAAAGAGAGAGGACGAAGGGAGGTGGGAGAATGGAAGGAGGTGAAAGGGATGAGATACGGTTTGTGCTCGTCAATGCACGAAGAGAGGGGGAGAGGGAGGGGGAAGGAGGAGGGAGGGCGGACAGGATGGAGAAAGGGAGGAAGGGGAAGGAGGGAGGGGGAGAAGGGAAAGAGTCCAGAAGGTGGATGATGTTGGGTGCTCTGGTGGGCTTGAACAAAGGAATTGTAAGCGGGTTCGGGGTCCTATTAGCGTGTTCTGGGAACTCGTGTTTTTTCTTAACCATCCTGTGGTGTTGGGTCCTCGTTTTGACAAGACGTCGCCCAGCGTTCCTCTCCTCCTCCTTTTTCTCCTCCTCCTCCCCCTTCCCTTCTCCTCCCGCCATCATCAGCATCGCCATCATCACCATCATCATCACCATCAGCGTCATCATCACCATCATCGTCATCATCATCATCATCATCATCATCATCATCATCATCAGCATCATCATCATCACCATCATCATCATCATCATCATCATCGTCATCATCGTCATCATCACGACCGTCATCATCACCAGCATCCTCACCCATTTCGGGAAACCCCTCACACGTTTCTTGGCCTCATATGGAGCTCCACCGAAGGCCCCAGTGCCACCGCCCGCATGCGTCCCCCACATCCACTTCGGTATATCCCTCACACGCTTCGTGGCCCCATAGGGAGCTTCACCGAAGGCCCCAGTGCCACCGCCCGCATGCGTCCCCCACATCCACTTCGGTACATCCCTCACACGCTTCGTGGCCCCATCAGGAGCTCCACCGAAGGCCCAAGTGCCACCGCCCGCATGCGTCCCCCACACACATTTCGGCACACCCCTCACACGCTTCGTGGCCCCATGGGGAGCCCCACCGAAGGTCCAAATGCCATCGCCCGCATGCGTCCCCCACGCCCATGTCGGCACACCCCTCACACGCTTCGTGGCCCCATGGGGAGCCCCACCGAAGGCCCCAGTGCCACCGCCCGCATGCGTCCCCCACACCATTTCGGCACACCCCTCACACGTTTCGTGGCCCCATATGGAGCTCCACCGAAGACCCAAGTGCCACCGCCCGCATGCGCCCCCTACACACAATTCGGCACACCCCTCACACGTTCCGTGCCCCCATATGAAATTCCACCGAAAGCCCCAGTGCCACCGCCCGCATGCGTCCCCCACGCCCATTTCGGCACACCCCTCACACGCTTCGTGGCCCCATAGGGAGCTCCACCGAAGGCCCCAGTGCCACCGCCCGCATGCGTCCCCCTTCACACACACACACACACACACACACACACACACTTCGGCACACCCCTCACACGTTTCGTGGCCTGACAGGGAGCTCCACCGAAGACCGCCCGCATGCGTCCCCCACACCAATTTCGGTACACCCGTCGCACGCTTCGTGGCTCCATAGGGAACTCCACCGAAGGCCACAGTGCCACCGCCCGCATGCGTCCCCCAAACCAACTTCGGCACACAACGCACACGCTTCGTGACAGAATCGGGAGCTCCACCGAAGGCCCCAATGCCATCGTCCGCATGCGTCCCCCACGCCCATGTCGGCACACCCCTCACACGCTTCGTGGCCCCATAGGGAGCTCCACCGAAGGCCCCAGTGCCACCGCCCGCATGCGTCCCCCTCACGCACACACACATACATATATCTATATATATACATACATATATATACATGTGTATATATATGTATATATATACTAGAACCACGCGCGCGCTTCGCGCGCGCTTAGGTTCTGCCGAGTCACAGACCCAGGAATCGTTGTGAGAAGAAATTAGTGACGCGAAGCGTCGTGGGGGCGTCCTTGGACGTCTGGGGTCTCCTGGGGCCTCTTGAGGGGCTTCCTGGGGGCCTCCTGGAGGCCTCTTGGGGCGGAAGGCTCGAGCTTGCGGTTCGTGGTCCCCCTCTGGGCCCCCTCTTGGGCCCATCTTGGGGCCCTCTTGGGCCATCTTGGGCGCCTCTTGGGCCGTCTTGGGGCCCTCTTGGGCTGTCCTGGGGCCCTCTTGGAAGCTTCTTGGGCCGTCTTGGGGCGGTCTTGGGCGCCTCTTGGGCCGTCCTGTAACGTCGGAAAGCCCAAAAGACAACTTTGTTGAACATGTACGTTTTACGAAGGGAATGGG